AGGGTGCGGGATGAAGGGGCCTCCCCTACCTGGGTGGGGTCCACCTCTCCCTGGATGATGTTGAGGATGGCGATGTAGCAGTGGTTGGTCTGGCGGTCTCGGCCTGTGGACACCATCACGTTCTTGGGCTGCAGCAGCCGCCTCATCACATCCAGGACCGTGGTCTTCCTCACGCTGGCCACCTGATGGGACAGTGAGACAGGAACCCGGCCAGCGCTCAGGGCAGAGTCCCCCTTTGGCTTCTCCTTGGCAGAAACCAAAGGCAGAGGGAGGGTAGAGAGCAAGTCAGCAAGAAAGTCGCCTGCTCTGTGCTAGTCCCTGAGCACAGTGCCTCGGGGCCCGCAAAGGGCAGCTCCTGGGGCAGTGGGGAAGACAGAAAGGCTAGGGCAGGGCCTGCTGGGCCCAGGGCCGGCCTGGCCTGGGACACTGAAGGCTGCTCTTACTGACTGGTCCGTAGTGAGTGGGGTGTAGCCGGTCATGAGGAAGTGGAGCCGTGGGGTGGGAATGAGCGAGGCGATGAGGCCGATGAGGTCATTGTTCATGTAGCCGGGGTAGCGCAGGGTGGTGGTGCTGGCCGACATGATGGTGGACACCTGGGGACAGGGGTGCCATGTCGTGGGCCTCGGCCACAATGGGACCTCCCTTCCCCAGATGACCATAAAACAAGGAGGGCTTCTAGTCCAAAGGAGTCTGGGAATGGGAGCCCACCAGCTGGTTGATCTGGGAGAAGGACGGGTTCTGGATGTGCAGGCGGTCTGTGGCAATCCGGTTCAGGGCTGTGTTGTCTAGCACCACCTGTGGGGACAGAAGAGGGTCACAGATCAATGGGGATAGGAAAAACAGAAGCTCTGCCTGACCCTAGGCTCTGAAGCTTAATTTCCCTTGAGTTTTATGGCCAGAAAGATCCACTGAAAAGGGATTTGCACTGACCTACGGCAAAAGAGGGCTCAAAATGGATTTTTAAATTTTTCTTTTCATCTTATTTAAACGTTCTTTTTTTTTCTTTTTTCTTTTTGAGACAGCATTTCACTTTGTCACCCAGGCTGGAGTGCAGTCAGTGGCACGATCTCTGTTCAGTGCAGCCTCTGCCTCTGAGGTTCAAGTGATCCTTCTGCATGTACCACCACTCCCGACTAATTTTTGTATTTTTAGTAGAGATGGAGTTTCACCATGTTGCCCAGGCTGGTCTTGAACTCCTAGACTCAAGTGATCCAACTACCTTGGCCTCCCAAAGTGCTGGGATTATAGCCATGAGCCACTGCACCTGGCTAAAATGGATTTTTTTAAATACATGAAAATGATTTAATAGACTTGAGTGGGTATGGGGTGTTGGGAGTTGGGAGAGGTAGAATCCAGGACTCACCACACAATCTGCGTTCTGCGTCAGCCTCTTGAGTGTGAGGAGTGAATTGTAAGGCTGAACCACCACATCGCTCATCTCGTCCTGGTTGGGAAACACTGAGTATGTCTGCACCAGCTTCTTAGGATACCTGGTGGCGGTTGGGGAAAGGATCAGGGCAACAGACTGAAGGCGCTGTGAACATGGTGCTCCCTAACAACTGTCCAGAAGCAGCTAAATCTTGATGGCGAACTGGGGTGGGGTCAGATCAGTAGAGAAGGGAGCCTCGGCTTTTGGAAGTCTGTAACCCTACAGGGGAAAGGCAGAGATATCTCAGACTCTGGGCTTCCAAATCCACACCTGGCCACACTCCCTCGACTTTCATCCAGGGCTCAGGTTCCAGGTTCCAGTTCCCGCTACTGGGAGTGTGATGGGGTTCTCAGTCATTGTAACTTCATTTTCCTCTCTATAGGAGGGAATAGAACTCTTTCCTGTTCCAGCAAATATGAAGTTATATCTGCTGGGTCCACTAGTCATTTAGGAAGCCAAGTTAGAAACCTTTCCTAATCCCCAGACACAAACTTACCTGTCATTCAGCCGTTCTAAGAGGTAGGAGCCCAGTCCAGAGCCTGTCCCCCCAGCAATGGAGTGACACAGCACAAAGCCCTGCATGGGGAAGCGGCAGTCAGTATCCAGGTATCTAGTGGCAAGATGTCAAACTAGACCCATCTCCTAATTTTTCAGGACTCCCATTTTCCCAAGCCCTTGCTTCCCCTCCAGTCCCCTCACTTATATAGCTTAGGCGACTGCCTTGTTTCCAGCAAGGCCTGATAGCTTCTGTCCAGTGCAAAGGGTACATGAGTGGGTCTCGTTCCTAACAGGTCGCTTCTAGAGGGTGCTGCTAAGCCTTGCCTATGTCGGCTCCTACCAGCATTCCTGGGACACTTACCTCTAGACTATCACTACCATCTGCCTCCCGGTCTATGATGTCAAAAATGTCCTCGTGGATCTTTTCTCCCTGTACAGACATAGGGGAGGGTCAGAGTGGGACAGAACCACGGGAGGACTCCGACCTCAGAAAAGCCACCCTCAATTCTCCTTATAGCACCCAGGAGTCCTTTTATGGAGTACAGCTGCCTGCTTTTTATCTACATTGAGAGGCGGTACGGTGCAGTGGTTACAAGAAAGCACTCTACACCCAGACTACCTGGGTTCATACATTAGCTCTATTTTTTTTTTTTTTTTTTTTTTTTGAGATGGAGTCTCTCTCTGTCTCCCAGACTGGAGTACAGTGACCTGATCTTGGCTCACAGCAACCTCCACCTCCCGGGTTCAAGTGATTCTCCTGCCTCAGTCTCCCCAGGAGCTGGGATTACAGACACATGCTATTTTCTGTATTTTTAGTAGAATCAGAGTTTCACTATGTTGGCTAGGCTGGTCTTGAACTCCTAACCTCAGGTGATCTGCCCGCCTTGGCTTCCCAAAGTGCTAGGATTACAGGCATGAACCACTGTGCCCGGCCCATTAACTCTACTTCTATGTAGCTCTGGGCAGCTTATTTAATTGCTCTATGCCTCAGTTTCCTCATCTGTACAATGAAGGTAATAATACAGGTCCATATACCCTTATCTAACAGTGTTGGGGCCAGTTATATTTTGGAATTCAAAATATTTCAGATTTTAGAAAGTTATTACAGTATATATAATATATATTAAATAAAATTCCAGTGGGAGTCAGAAGCACGTTAATCACACATATTAGTATTTCTGTAATAAAAGGCATCAGTAATGACAATAAGTTGGATAGAAAGTATGGGGCCGGTGCGGTGGCTGAGGCCTGTAATCCCAGCACTTTGGGAGGCCGAGGCAGGCGGATCACGAGGTCAGGAGATCAAGACCATCCTGGCTAACACGGTGAAACCCCGTCTCTACTAAAAATACAAAAATTAGCCAGGCATGATGGCAAGCGCCTGTAATCCCAGTTACTCGAGAGGCTGAGGCAGGAGAATCGCTTGAACCCCGGTGGCAGAGGTTGCAGTGAGCCAAGATCATGCTACTGCACTCCAGCCTGGGCAACAGAGTGAGACTCCGTCTCAAAAAATGATAATAATAAATAAATAAAAAAGAAACCGCCTGTCTTCATTGAGATTTGTTTTTGCTGCTGAACTAGTTATGAAATGTCCTTTGGTTTCATGGCTTTCTGGATCCTGGAAAGGCACATAAGGGACTGTGGACCTGTAGTACTTACTTCTAGGGTTGTTGGGAGATTTAGAAAAATTAATATATGTAAAGCACTTAGAATGGCCTGGCACACTGCATTAGCTAGCATAGGCGCTTGACAATATTACATGGTCCACTCCCTGCAGCCACGTCTCTCCCTCCAGCATTCATACATCCCTGATCTGGTTTCCTCTCTCCCTGGGACGTCATAGGGCCTGTCCCTACCCAGGGAGTTGTGGGCCCTGTCAGGGAATAGGAAACGACCTGGGAGAATCCACTGGCCCAGTTGTTGCCAGCTCCTCCTCCATGCTCCGACAGGTAGATGTTCTCTGGGTTGTAGAGCTTGGCATAGGGGGAGTTGAGGATGGAGTGGATCACCCGGGGCTCCAGGTCCAGCAGCACGGCCCGGGGGATGTAGTGCTCATCGTCTGCCTGTCAAGGGGAGTCCAGGAGGGGGCCCAATCAGCTAGGGTGGCCCAAGTCCTAAGTCCTCCCAACTCTGGCTCCCTCCAGCCCTCCCTCCTCATGCCAGCCGCCTGGCCCCACTGCCCAGCAGGGTTCCCAGTACCAGGCCACTCCCTTCCCTTCTGGCCCCTCGGGCCATTGCCGCCCTTGGCCAAGTCGCTGGGGGCACCTGGTAGAAAAAGACGTCCTTGCGGTCAGTGCCTTCGGTGGCGAACTCCTCCACGATGCCCTCGGGGCTGATACCATGCTCAGCGCACAGCTGTTTCCAGAACTCGAACCCAACTGGGGGGGAAGGGGCAGGCAGGGGAGAAAGAAGATATCTAGTTCCGGGCAGGTTCCAGTCAGGAGCGGAGGGACTGGGCGCCTGCGTCCAGGAATAAGAAGTCAAGCCGTAGGACTCTCCCGTGTCTGAGGAAAGGACTGTACGCCAGGGACAGGGCAGGGGAGGGCCCCTCGGGGCTGGGCAAGTGGACATTGGGTCAGGGATGTCTCGCCTTTCAGAGAACTACGATTCTGGCAAGGACAGATGGAGTCCAGGATCCTACAGCGAGATCACATTGACCCTAAGGAACCTGGCTAGCTGAGGGGCCGGAGTTTCGCTCACTCTGATTGCCGCACTGGCCCAACTGAAGGGTGATGATTTCCCTCGGCATCGCTCCTCAGGCACCGGCGTTGCAGCCGCTCCCGCCCGCAACGCCGCCGCACGCCAGCCCGCTCGCCGCAAGACGCAGGCGCGAAACAACAAGCTCCACCCACGACCTTCATCCGCTCCAATGAGAACCGAGTTCTGGCAATGAATGGCATGTCTTTAAGCACTGGCCTTCATTCATGCAGATTGCGCGTGCGCGGCTTCTGATCGGGCTCTGAGCCGACGGATCAGGTTCCGCGCCTCAACGCTGGCGGGGTACTTTGACTCGGCGTCCTCCCTCCCCTCTGGGTAGACGCCCGCTTGGGCCTGCGCGCAAGCGCGCTGTGGTGCGAAGCGGCCTCCCACGCCGAATCGCGCATCTGCGCAGTTGCTGTTATTGTGACTGTCGGGCCACGGCCCCGGATGTTGTGGCTGCCGGGGGGAGATGGCGGAGGCCGAAGGGGTGGCGGCGACCCCAGGCCCGGCTTCGGGGTCGACTTTCAGGGGCCGCCGAGATGTGTCAGGCTCCTGGGAGCGGGACCAGCAGGTTGAGGCGGCGCAGCGGGCCCTGGTCGAGGTGCTGGGGCCTTACGAGCCTCTGCTGAGTCGGGTGCAGGCAGCCCTGGTGTGGGAGCGGCCAGCCAGGAGCGCCCTGTGGTGCCTGGGGCTGAACGCGGCTTTCTGGTGAGAGAACTGGACCCTCGGAAACCCTCCGAGTCCCGAATTCGTCGGTTCCTCTAGGGCTGTACTCGCCTGCCCTGTTTTCTTCGCTGCACTGGCTCCTTCTTGTACCTGCCTAATTTTGCCTCACCTCTTTCCACTCCATCCCGCCTGCAGGCTTGGGCACCCCAGTTCTTCCCAGGGCCGTCCACCCGTCTTCTCTGCCTTACCGGTGCCCGCACCTCCGCCGTGCACATCTGGCGGGAGCTTCTGGTAACATCTTGAGCCGCTCAAGAGTGAGCTAGGGCGCCTCTTTTGAGCCCGGGAAAGCTGCGTCCCTTTAAAGCCATCACTTCCTTTCTCTTGTCTGCTCAAGTGCAAGTTCTAGATTGTTTCCAGAGGTTTTAGTAGTTGTTGTTGGAGTACAGGCGTGAAGTCTTGCAAAGGTATCCATAGGTGTGATTTTAAAACAAGCTTGAGCGATTCGCATGAATTAGCATGTTGTATATCTAGGAAGGAAGTTTATGAAGTCTGAGCGTCAGTGTGAGCCCCCAAAGCTGAAAATTGAAAGAAAAGTACAAGCTTTTAAAGAACAGTTAGGAAATGACGGAGATTTCACCCGTTTCAAAGCCACCTGTGATTGTAACTCCTCCCTGTTCCAAGGAATTAGAGAGGCATCCTTAGCCATTGTTTATAGGCAAAGAAATTGAGGATGTCCAATAGTGTGTGTGTGTTCCTGAGCTGGAAAAGTGGCACTATAAATATGCTTTATCTGTGTGTGTCATGCTCTGTGAAAATGGAACTGCTACTTCTCTCAGTTGTCATCACCTAAAGCGGACCTAGGACTTCATAGGAGCTAGCAACCATAGTTTTGGATTTATTCGTAATGGAAGAGGTTCCAAGGGAACTGACTTCTAGGGGGCCTTCTGCAGCTGAATGGATTAAGACTGTTCTGGATAAGCCTGAAACAAAATATGTGTGTTTTTTAAATGTGTTTTTGCTAAAAATAGCTTCCCCTTAAAATTGGTTTTAAAATCAAAACATTATCCTTTATCTGAAAGATTTTCAGTGAGCTGAAGCAGAACAAATAATTCCAAGTTCATTGACCTGAAGACAGTGTTCAGCTATTAAGCTAATCCTCTCCCAGTTTGAAAGAGACCCAGTTAAATGTGTCACAGTAGTCTCTGGCATTTGTGGCTTCCAGAGCCATTAGCATACTCGATGGTAAACTTTTCCTACTACTTCATTTATTCTTGGTAGTGCTTTTTCCCTTTTTTTTTTTTTTAGACAGAGTTTCGCTCTTATTGCCCAGGCTGGAGTGCAATGGCGCGATCTCGGCTCACTGCAACCTCCGCCTCCAGGATTCAAGCATTTCTCCTGCCTCAGCCCCCCAAGTAGCTGGGATTATAGGCATGAGCCACCAAAACCGGCTAATTTTGCATTTTTTAGTAGAGATGGGGTTTCTCCATGTTGGTCAGGCTGGTCTTGAACTCCCGACGTCAGGTGATCTGCCTGCCTCGGCCTCCCAGAGTGTTGGGATTGCAGGCGTGAGCCACTTCACCCCGCTTTTTTTTTTTTTTTTTTTTTGAGACAAGGTCTTGCTCTATCACCCAGGCTGGGGTGCAATGGTATGATCTCGGCTCATTGCAACTTCCACATCTGGGCTCAAGCAATCCTCCCACCTCAGCCTCCACAGTAGCTGGGCAGAGGTGCACATCACCATGCTTGGCTAATTTTTAAAATTTTTTGTAGAGACAGGGTCTCACTATATTGTGCAGGCTGGTCTCGAACTCCTAGGCTCTGGTGATCCTCCCGCCTTGGCCTCCCAAAGTGCTGGGATTATAGGCATACACCACCGTGCCCAGCCAAGTGCTTCTTCCTTGACCCCTAGGGACTGATTCCCATTGCCCTCTGTAGAAATCTTCACTATAGCACCTCACTGAAGAGTGTTTCATTTCACATTTCCCACAGTGGTTTCGGTCCTCTCTAGCAAGAAGGCTGGGCCTCATCAAACCAATTTGTATCAAAGTATGACTGCCTGATGAAAAAAGACACTTTATCAGGGTTTACTTATTTTTGTTTTGAGAAAGTTTCGCTCTTGTTGCCCAGGCTGGAGTGCAATGGCATGATCTCAGCTCACTGCAACCTCCCCCTCCCGAGTTCAAGGGATTCTCCTGCCTCAGCCTCCTGAGCAGCTGGGATTACAGGCATGCACCACCAATGCCTGGCTAATTTTTGTATTTTTTTTGTAGAGACAGAGTTTTGCCAGGTTACCCAGGCTCATCTCAAACTCCTGAGTTCAAAGCAATCCGCCTGCCTCAGCCTCCCAATGTGCTGGGATTACAGGTGTGAGCCACTGCACTGTACCGGGCCTTAAATGGATTTTTTTTTTTTTTTTGAGGCGGAGTCTGGCTCTGTCGCCCAGGCTGGAGTGCAGTGGCGTGATCTCGGCTCACTGCAAGCTCCGCCTCCCGGGTTTACGCCATTCTCCTGCCTCAGCTACCGAGTAGCTGGGACTACAGGGCACCCGCCACTCACCGGCTGTTTTTTGTATTTCTTAGTAGAGATGGGGTTTCACAGCGTTAGCCAGGATGGTCTCGATCTCCTGACCTCGTGATCTGCCCGTCTCGGCCTCCCAAAGTGCTGGGATTACAGGCTTGAGCCACCGCGCCCGGCCCCTAAATGGATTTTTAAACCAAAGATTTATTAATGCAAATGAATTGGTAGCATGTATGCTGTTCTTTTTGAGGAGGGGCCCTTTTTTTTTTTTTTTTTTTTTGAGACAGAGTCTCCCTCTGTCGCCCAGGCTGAAGTGTAGTGGCGCCATCTGTGCTCACTGCAAGCTCCGCCTCCCAGGTTCACGCCATTCTCCTGACTCAGCCTCCCGAGTAACTGGGATTACAGGCACGTGCCACCACACCCGGCTAATTTTGTGTTTGTTTTTTTTTTTTTGAGATGGAGTCTTGCTCTGTCGCCCAGGCTGGAGTGCAGTGGCCAGATCTCAGCTCACTGCAAGCTCCGCCTCCCGGGTTTATGCCATTCTCCTGCCTCAGCCTCCCTAGTAGCTGGGACTACAGGCGCCTGCCACCTCACCTGGCTAGTTTTTTGTATTTTTTTAGTAGAGACCGGGTTTCACCGTGTTAGCCAGGATGGTCTCGATCTCCTGACCTCGTGATCTGCCTGTCTCAGCCTCCCAAGGTGAATTTTTTGTATTTTTTAGTAGAGATGGGGTTTCACCGTGTTAGCCAGGATGGTCTCGATCTCCTGACCTCGTGATCCGCAAGGAGGGGACCTTTCATCTGCCCCTTGTCCAAGAGAGGTTTCTGAAGCAGAATGTGAGGTTGAGGTCTGCACATAAGGAGCTGCTGTGACTGGGATATATCTAGATGTTACAGCTAGCTTTAATTTGCGGGCCTCTACCAGTGTTTACTTAAGCTTATGAATATGCTATGTTTAGAGGCTCACTTCATACTCCTTTTGTACTCTGGGTCTCTTAAAGCATTGCTGTGATTGGTTTTTTATCTTTGGCATTTCCTAGTAGCTTGTCTGCTGTGTATCCAGAACACAGTTACTCTTGTTACAGTCCCATCACATTTCAAGAAGGTGTGGGAGAGAGACAACAAAGTGAGGATGTGACTTTTTTTTTTTTTTTTTTTTTAAGACGGAGTCTTGCTCTGTCGCCCAGGCTGGAGTGCAGTGGCGTGATCTTGGCTCACTGCAAGCTCCAGTTCCCAGGTTCACACCATTCTACTGCCTCAGCCTCCCAAGTAGCTGAGACTACAGGGGCCCACCACCATACCCGGCTAATTTTTTGTATTTTTTAGTAGAGACTGGGTTTCACTGTGTTAGCCAGAATAGTCTCGATCTCCTGACCACCGCGCCCAGCCTTTTTTTTTTTTTGAGATGGAGTCTCCTCCGTCGCCCAGGCTGGAATGCAATGGCGTGATCTTGGCTCACTGCAATTTCCGCCTCCTAGATTCAAGCGATTCTCCCACCATAGCCCGCCGAGTAGCTGGGATTATAGGCACCCGCCATCATGCCTAGCTAATTTTTGTATTTTTGTAGAGACGGAGTTTCACCATGTTGGCCAGGCTGGTCTTGAACTCCTGACCTCAGGTGATCCACCCACCTTGGTCTCCCAAAGTGCTGGGATTACAGCTATGAGCCACTGTTTCTGGCCGAGGATGTGACTCTTGAGACTAAAAGAACAGTTGGGTTTGCCATTTCTGGAGAGGACTCCTACCTATGAAAGGTACAGATACTGTTAAGTCCCCAGAAACTTGAATAGTCTGGCATTGGAGTTCACAAAATTGTTTGGGGAAATGAGCTTCCTTGGTAGGTAATTAGAGATTTAAAATGAAATTTGGGCTTCACATTCTAGTAGTGTCATATTGAGTATGAGGGCTGACATTTCACTTAGGAATGTCGAAGAGTGTTCAGTTAACAAACATTTTAAATGTTTAAGAAAGGGAGGAGGATCATTAGCTCAAGTCAGAAAAATCAAATCTGAAATATTTAGTTTCTCTTTTATTATTTGTATTGAATAATGGGATAAAAATGGCATATCATTAACTGAGATTTTTGTGCATTTTGAGGTATTAGAATATTGGATAGGAGTACAAAAAAAATCAGAATTCAGGTAGGTAGCTCTTAATTTTCAGTGTTTTGTATACTCAGTCATATTTTGCTGTACCTGTGAATACGCCTTCTTACATCTTAAAAAAAAAAAAGATGGAGATAGATGTAGATACTTTGTCACTATAGTATTCCAAGGTTTTCACACTTTTTTTTTTTCAGGTACCAGAGAATTTATGGTGGCCATATCAGAGATCTTCCAGCCTAGAGTACTTCTGGTCACTGATCTGTTATTATCTCTAGGATAATAATAGAAATGTCAGGCCGTTCCTTCCAATTGCTTGTGTTTTCATTAGCCTCAACCTCATCTGTGAATGAGTGATTTGGGGGAAGAATATGAGAGTCAGCAAGCATGTATCCTGACAGGATCAGAAAAGAACAGGTTTGGG